TTGATTAAATTAGCAATAAAAATAATGTTTTGATATATTGTTAATTATTGTATAATAAAATTATTTTTAATTAAAAATAATTTAATTAGATAAAATAATAAAAAAAATTAAAAAAAATGAATTCATATTTTATTATTTTAGGTTGATTCTCACTCAATTAAAATTACAATTTTATACCAATTAAAATTGGGATTTGTTTTTATCAACAACATTAGTTTAATTGGTAAGGAGTTTGATATGACTGAGGTAGATTTCAAGTTCGAGTCTTTATATATACAAAAAATTCTTAGTGGGAGACTTACCCATCCAAACCAAGTGTGCGATGCAGGTTGATTCGAATTAGTCGGAACAAAACCCTGAGAAATAAGAGGGCAACAAAAAAAATTGAGATTTTTAAACACATTAAATAAATGCAACGTCTTTAGAAAATAAAAAAAATAGTTTTATCTGACATATGTTTATTCTGTAAAAGGTTAGTTTTTTTTTATTTCGTTCGATTTTTATTGTTTAGTTTTTATAAAAATATTATTACTATTTTATATTTTATATTTAATAGTAATACTTATTTTATAAATTTTTAATGTAGTTTGAAATTATTTTTAAATAATTTATATTTCATATCAATAATATTTTCATCAAGTATCAAGGAGTTCAATGAAATGAAATAGTATTTATCTTTACTATTCTTTGATTGAGTAGTAAAAGTAAATAGTACAAATTAAAAAACTATCAAATTAAGCTGAGTTTATTGAACCGTTGATTGGATTGAATTGAGTTGTGATATATGAGGAGTGAAAACTGGTTAAATTTATATTTGATCTAAATTAAATTTTATTGAAATAAAGTTGAAATTGTTTTTTGGATAATTCAAATTTTATTACCCAAATAACAAAGTTTGCTACAACCAATGATACAAAAAAAGAACTATGAACATACAAAACAAACAAAAGATTGGTTAGGTTATATTCCAAGCACTACAAAGAGTAAGGTTAATACTATCTAATCTATGGATTTGCCCCTTAGTCGAATGCCTACAACATTCTTGATTTCTTTGAGCAAGGCTTCAACATTTCTCTGACGTCCTAGGAAAATTCTATTGTTGCGTTCTAGCCACAAAAAAAAGTGAAAGCAGACCATGCAAGCTTCAAAATGACAGTGATAAGAGATTTCCCTTTCCAAGTAGAACAAGCCGAATCTATAAAGGCATCCCAAGACTTGAAAGAAGGGTTCATACCAGTAAACTGCAGAACAGAAATCCAGAGTTCAGCTGCTAGAGGGCAGTGGAAGAAAAGATGGTCCCGAGACTCTTGGAAGAGGTTGCAGTTGATACAAATACTTTCAGAACAGATTCCCATTCATTGGAGTCGATCTCTAGTAGGAAGACGATCGAGAAGAACCATCCAAGCTATCATACTATGTTTGGGAATATGCAGTGGAAACCAGATTAAACGATGCCAAGGAACCTTTTGTTCATCCGTTCGGGTTACTTCCCATATTTCTTTGGGTATACCAGTAGTGAGAATAGCGAAAGCTGTTGTTCTCAATTTTAAAATCCGTTTTATGCTCCAACTTACGTTCGCTCCAGCTTGAAATAGCCAAAAGTTGAAAATGTTGTGATAAAATTCAAGGATCATTTTCAAAAATGAAATGATTTATATCACTACAAAATTTTATTCAAATGTTTTTTGAAGATTTTTTTATATATAACCTATTGTTATTTTGTTTTAATTTTTACATATATTTAAATTATCTTACTATTATTGCTATTATTATTATTATTAATTTTAAACCTTAAAAACTTTTTTATTAGTTTATATTCATTTGAAATTACTCATCATAAAAATTTAAAGAATTTTTTTATTATTATGTTAAAATTAAATTAAATAAATAAATTGATAAATTTCAAATAAATGTACTTTATAGACATCTTGAATTAAAATTTCATTTTTTAATTATTCAAATCTATAAATAATAAATAAATGATTAATATTTTAAAATAAGAAAATAATTTTGATATTATTTTAAAATAAAACTTTAAATATATAAAGTATGATAACACTTATATTCATCTTGAATTATATTTTATTTATAATATAAAATATTTTTAATGTTTAAATTCAAATAAGATATTACATTGCTCTTTATCTTAAATCTGCAATTACTCTTTAAAAGCTTTCATATATTTTCATTTTAATTTTAATTTAAACTACTGAAACTTATATATAAAAATATTTTCTTATTTTCTTCTTGAACATAAGAAAATAATTTTATTATTAGATTACAACTAAATACAAACTTTGAATATATAAAGTTTAATCAAATATTGAATTACACTTTATATTCATCTTAAATTATAATAATACTTTATTTAAACTATTCAAGTTTTAGATAAATAGTATTTTATTATTTTAATTTATTTAATACTCAAAGATGAGGAAGCATTTGTATTATTATATTAAAGCTAAAATTGTTAATATATGAAGTACGATAAATATTAGATTATATTGTTTATTAATTTTAAATTACATTTTTTTATTGTAAATTAAACTATTGAAATTTAGATATATAATATATTACTATAAACTAATGTAAATTATTTAAGTAGCATAGTTTAATTATTTTTTTAGTTCCTTAATCAACTATTTTTTTCATCATATGATATACAATAGAAATTGTATTAAAGTCAATACATTATCATGAATAAAGTTAAAAGAGACTTAAAAAATTTTAAAGTCATGTTCAAATCTGATCATATATATATCGCTTTTTTTTTTCCTTTTCAATAACTTGAGAGATACGTTTCATCTAAAATAAAACCCCACAACTTAATTTCAATAAAAGATGTATTATTTCCCATGTTGATTTTTTAACATATATTTAAGATCGAATGAGTGAAAATAAATAGTTTAAATTAACAGTAGGAAATTACAAGACATTTATTGAAAAAATAAGAAGTTAATTTCAACCATTTATTTGTATTAATCCAACGATCCTAAATATAATTTGTGTAAAATTTAAAAAATTTTAAATTGTGTAAGCTGATCATATATATATATATATATATATAGACGAACGCAAGATCCTATGTTAAGGGAAGAACTTTTAAAATTTTAGGATAAGGTAATTTTATAAAATTCTAAGGGGTTGAACAAAGAAATATCTAAAATGTTTACTAATTTAAAGTTTTCGAGGGACAATCCCCACCCATGTACCTCAGTCCATCCCTATATATATATATCGTGTGTGTGATTCATGTTAGTTTCACGATCTATTTTCATAATTTATGAGTTATGATTGATACTTTTAATAATGTTTTTGTAAAATTTAAATTTATTTTCTACACTATTTTATTAATTATTTAAGTTGATTCTTCTATACTCGACGAGCGGCGATGAGAATCATTAACGATAAGTAATATTAATTTAATTTATAAAAGTTTAAAATTTTGAATGACTCAACGTATAATTATAAATTAATTAAAAATTTAAAGGTGAATTAATTAAAATAAAGGGTAAACTATACAAGTGACCATCTAACTATTGCACCTTTTTATTTTGACCACCTTTTTTGAAATTTTATCAATAAGGTTAATCAACAATTTAAATGCATTCAATTAAGCCACTTGCCATTAATATCTAATAGAGAAACTGATGTGGCAGTTAAAATATTTGATATAATTATACATTTGGTCATTGTTACTTATATATTATATCATTTTAGTCCTAATCATAATAAATTAAAATAAATTTAACCCTCAAAGCTAGTAATAACAACAAAAATTGTAAAAGTCATCATTGGCTGGGTAAAAGGAATCGACATTGGATCTTGAGAAATTGATTTGGGAAATAGGTTGTTTTGAACAATAACTGTAAAAGCCATCCTTTGTTGGTTAAAAGGAATCGACATTTGAATTGTTGATGACTTTGACAGAATAAAATGAAGAAAACAATTTAAATATTTTTAAAAAGGAAAAAGAAATAAATAAAAGTAAAATCCTAACCAAAAAATATATTCCGGTAACATAATAAAAAATAATTTTAAATATTAAATTGAAAAAAATATCACCCACAATGAATAATCTCCCATATAATTTGATACTTTAAAAAAAAAACAAGTGAAATGAACAAACTACACACATAAATCTCATTTTTCATTAATGCACATAGAAATCAAAACAACCTTTAAATATAATTAATTTAAGTATTAATTAGTTGTTGAATTTATATTATTTTGGGGTTCCTAAGACAAAGTTTAAAGGGTTAAATTTATTTTAATTTATTAAAATTGGGACCAAATTGATAACATTTATAAGTAACAATGACTAAATGTATAATTATTCCAAATATTTTAATTGCCACATCAACTTCTCCGTTAAATATTAATGGCAAGTGGCTTAATTGAATGAATTTAGATAGTTGAGTGACCTAATTGATAAAATTTAAAAAATAGTGATCAAAATGAAAGGGACAATAGTTAGGTGATAACTATTATAGTTTACCCTTTATTTTAAATAATTTATTTTTAATTTTTAACTAATTTATAATTATACGTTAAGTATTTTAAAATTTTAAATTTTATAAATTAAATTAATAGTACTCATTTTTAGTGATACTCATCGATACTAGTAGAGCGTGTAGAATTTTCCAATCATTTATACATGTTTTATAATTTTATGTTATTGTTAATATTATCGTGTCTGGTTTGGTACGAACGATTGATGTAAGAAGTCTAACTGTATAAAGTCTACGAGGCCATCCCATGTCAATTAAATTACATATTTTATAGACGTGTCCATTATATATTCTCTGCTTAGCTTGCAACCACAACCCAATCTGTCAAATTCAATTATTCTCAAGTTATCTCTCCTATATTTTATTTACTTCTTACAATTCTTCTAATAACTTTTTACAATTTTAAAAGAATCAATCATTTTTACGAGGTAAATTCAAAGTCTATATAAAGGGAGTGAAGAGGTTGGCTAAGAGAATAACAAAACTAAACCTACTTTTGTAGTAAACATGGGGTCTTCCATAGCCTCTCTCTTTCTCAGTCTTCTAGTCTTAGCTGTGTCTCTCAATTTGCCTTTTAAAACCTTTGCCGGTTACACTTATTCCTCTCCTCCACCTCCTCCTAAGAACTATCCACCACCACCTTATCATTACAAGTCACCACCGCCTCCTCCTCCAGTCCATTCTCCTCCTCCACCACACGAGAAGCCTTACATGTATAAGTCTCCACCACCTCCACCGGTGCATTATCATCATCCGCCTTACAAGTACAAGTCTCCTCCTCCTCCACCCCCGGTTTATAAGTACAAGTCTCCCCCACCTCCACCAAAGCACCCATATAATTATAAATCTCCTCCACCACCCCCAACTCCAGTTTACAAGTACAAATCACCACCACCACCTCCACTGCACTATCCTCCACCACTTTACAAATATAAGTCCCCACCACCACCACCACCACCACCGCCATCACCACCCAAACATCCTTATATGTACAAGTCTCCACCACCACCGCCATCACCACCCAAGCATCCTTATAAGTACAAGTCTCCACCACCACCACCATCACCACCCAAGCATCCTTATAAGTACAAGTCTCCACCCCCGCCACCTCCAGTGTACAAGTATAAATCTCCACCACCTCCAGTGTACAAGTATAAATCTCCACCACCTCCAGTGCACTATCCTCCACCCCCTTACAAATACAAGTCCCCACCACCACCACCACCATCACCACCCAAGCATCCTTATAAGTACAAGTCTCCACCACCGCCATCACCACCCAAACATCCTTATAAGTACAAGTCTCCACCACCGCCGCCATCACCACCCAAGCATCCTTATAAGTACAAGTCTCCACCACCACCCAAGCATCCTTATAAGTACAGGTCTCCACCACCACCACCATCACCACCTAAACATCCTTACAAGTACAAGTCTCCACCTCCGCCACCTCCAATTTACAAGTATAAGTCTCCACCACCTCCATTGCACTATCCTCCACCACCTTACAAGTACAAGTCCCCACCACCACCATCACCATCACCACCCAAGCATCCTTATGAGTACAAGTCTCCACCACCACCGCCATCACCACCTAAGCATCCTTATAAGTACAAGTCTCCACCACCACCACCACCACCATCACCACCCAAGCATCCTTATAAGTACAAGTCTCCACCACCACCACCACCACCATCACCACCTAAACATCCTTATAAGTACAAGTCTCCACCCCCGCCACCTCCAGTTTACAAATATAAGTCTCCACCACCTCCGGTGCACTGTCCTCCACCCCCTTACAAGTACAAGTCCCCACCACCTCCACCACCATCCTCACCACCATCCCCACCCAAGCATCCTTATGAGTACAAGTCTCCACCACCGCCTGTACACTCCCCTCCACCACCATCACCCCATTATGTCTACTCTTCACCCCCTCCTCCTCACCAATACTAAGCTACGGCTTTGACAGTACTCCAAAGGTAACATAAACTAAAACCTCTCTTTTTACCATTCGTCAAGGTGCATTATTTCACATTGTTTTGCATGTTTTGATTTTTAAACAGTTCAACAATAAAACACATTGTTTTGTTTTGTAGGAGAAGAGTGATTCAAATAAAGAAACAAAAGATGGTTTGAAAAGAAATATTGAGAGGCCATCAAGAAGAAAATTAGGAGTCGAGCCTAGTCCCCCCGTTTGAAGTGAATAATGTAGACATGTTTATATTTGGCAATGTATTATTCAGTGGGTCCACTTGTTTTTATTTTTATCTTTCTGCTTAATAATAAAAATGAATCCTTATATAATTGTTTGTGTATCTGATTATCTTACCACTTGAACTTCCATTTTTACGTTCTTTAATCTATTTCAAAATAATTATCTTTAATGGGTTTATTAAAGTGATAAGTAACATCATATCGACTAAATAATGTTTTGAGTTCAAATTTTTTTATATATACTAAACGAAAATTTTCCCAAAAAAACTATATTTATAACAAGAATCAATCCTAATAAATCAAGATAACGACCTAAAAAAATGCAAAAGCAACAAAAAAAAATCTTTTTTATTTACGAACTATCAATATAATAAATTTATAAATCATGTTTACAATCTCAAGAATCACATCAATAAAAAAACGGTAGTCGACAAAAAATCAAGAGCTACGTGATGCAATTTATTATTTTGAAAGTTCAATTAAATGTAAAAATGTCTTAATTGATGTTTTCAAAAACAATTCTAAAACATTTTTATTCCTTAATGTTTTTTTTTCTCAAAAACAAATTCGCATGATATTCACCTTTGAATTTTATAGGGTTTGAAAAGATTTAAAAAACAATTTAACTTAAACAAAATATTAATATACAAATGCATCAATTTATATTGTGTAGTATGTTTATATCATAAGTATGGGTGATAGTAGCGAGGTATATTATAATCTTAAGAAGAGAAGTTATGTTTAATTTTTTAAGACTATTATTAGGTAAGGTAAGGGTAAAGATAACCATGGTCCCTTTCAAATGTGTACTACATTAGTAAAAAGTAATAAAAAAATATTTTTAAATTTTATTTTAGAGTGACCCTTTCAAACAAAATAATAAAACTGTTGGAAGCGTTGTGGATACGTGATAATTTTTATAACTCAAACTATTATTGATATGAGCAGAATACGATCCACGTACAACACTAGCTTCGACTAATTCACAAACACTACTCTCACAACAAAGCTTTGCTAAGCTTGTAACACCCTAATTCGGTTTGACCCGAAGATCGTAGGGTTAAAGCGTTACACGAACCACCGAAGTGGCTAACAAAAAAATTTCTTTAAAATATTTGTAAAACATACATAAATCATTCCCATGGTATGAAATGAAAACAACATAAATATAAGTTTATAAAGTATAGAAACTTCCAATACATCCAAAATACAAACTTTGAGCTTTAAATCAAAACAAAGTTATCACTTGAATTGATACAAGGTCCACATAAATAAATGCCCTCCAAATGAATCAAGACATAGGGGTGAGCAAAACTCGACTCAACTCAAAAAATCAATTTTTTCGACATGATTCAACTCGAAAAAACTCGACCCGAAATAACTTCGAGTTGTAATTTCATAAACTCGACTTGACTAGAAAAAATTTCAAGTTTAAATCGAGTTGTAAAATACAACTCGAATAACTCGAAATTTTTAGTAATTAGTGGATTTATTTTCTAGTTTGAGTCGTGTCCTTCTACTTTGTATGATATATGAATATCAAATATGAAAAAAATGAAGAAATATATTTTTATTGTATATATGGTTATAGAAAGTTACTTAAATTAGAATCAAATAATATTATAATATTATAAATATTTACAATTAAATTTAAACAAAAACTTGAAAAATTGACTCGAATCGACCCGAAAAAATTTCAAGTAAACTCCGAGTTGTAAAATATGACTTGTTAACTCGAATAACTCAGAATTTTTTGACTCCACTCGACTCGGCTCAATCGAACGCTCACCCCTATCAAGACATACTCTAAAAATGACTAATCTGATAGGCTCCTCGTCAATCCTCTACTGAACTGTGCATGGAAACAAATTCCGAACACTGAGCTCACAAGCTCAGTGCCATGATAATAACTATGCAATACTACATGCATTCATTACATGAACATGCTGGTGCGTAAAGCCATGGGTATGCAAAAGTATAGCAAACAAACATGATATAGGTCTAGTGATGTAGTCGGAGCAATTTTCTGCATCTCGAGACAAACACACTAGCCTACCTTGAAATGCTCGAGGGTCTCGGGGTAAGAACCAACAATTTATATGCATCGGAAGCTTACATCTCTAGAACACATGTAGGCTCTCCAGCATTATACAGGATCCGGAATTTTACGTGCATCGGATACATACCCAGCCAACTATATCCAGATATCACATCATTAAGGACGATCGTCATATTGCTAGAGTAACTCGGATGTCCTGACCATTTCCCGAGCATCACACAATGGCTAGTCTTATGTCATCGTAACTTTTTTGGTTTCTAGTTGTAATTTTAGTTACTTTAGTTTTTTTCACTTGTAGTCGTGTACTTAAAGCTTCTATAATCTCCAATTTTTCGTACACAAGTTATAGGGTCACATGACTTATGAAAACTTTTACTCATTTGTAAAACCACTATTTTTTTTCCGAATTTCAAACCAAACAATTTGATACAATAATAAAACATTCATTGAAATATATTACTAAAAACTATCACTTTAAAACCCTTAAAAAATATTTTTCTTAAATTCGATTACATGCCAGCTAAGTTTAAGAATAAACATGATTGTCCTACTGTTAATGACGAGTCAACATTAAATTGATGATAGATGTTGCTACTACACTCCTTAATTGGAAAATCTTTGGTTTTTACCTACACGTGAAATCAACACACGTTAAGTATTTACTTAGTGATGCATAATATTGTAAATGAATTACAATTTATTCATAATCATGTCATGACTATCAAAACTATGATAATTCGTATACTTCGTGAGAATCCTTTACAATTTTTTTAATTAAACCAATAAATATCATCGTTTAAGCTGAAAGGAAATGTTTTTTCATCTAACATGCATTAGTGGCACCTTTATGCCAAATGCATAGTTAGGCATTTAACCATTCATCTAACTTTCATTATTGGTACCTTTCTGCAAAATGCATAGTTAGGCATTTAACCATTCATCTAACTTGCATTATTGGCACTTTTATGCCAAATGCACAGTTAGGCATTTAATCATTCATCTAACTTGCATTATTGGCACATTTCTGCCAAATGCACAGTTAGGCATTTAACCATTCATCTAACTTGCATTATTGGCACATTTCTGGTAAATGCACAGTTAGGCAATTAACCTTTCATCTAAAGGCATTTAACCTTTCATCTAACTTACATTATTGGCACCTTTCTGCCAAATGCACAGTTAGGCATTTAACCATTCATCTAACTTGTATTATTGGCACCTCTCTACCAAATGCACAGTTAGGAAATTAACCATTCATCTAACTTGCATTATTGGCCCCTTTCTTCCAAATGCACAGTTAGGTATTTAACCTTTCATTTTAGAGAAATTCATACTCTAAAAATTGTTCATAATATCGATTTCATACACATTATAAACATATATCAAATACGGTAAAATCAACATTTAATTAAAACATTAGAGGTTGACTCATGGTGAGTCTCCATCATCCCATATAATTACAATAGATGCACTCACCTGATATGCCTCCCTAGTATGTTGTAGTGATGTCCAACTACCTCGCAACTTTGTTCTTGCCCTTCTTCTTGCTTGACTCATGAGCTTGGCTATGATCTACACAATCATCCATTTAGTACATATACCATACAAATGTTGGTATACCCTCTAATATTTATACTTTAATAATGCTCAAAAGTACTATTATTTTCACTTTCTATTACAATTTCAGCCTATCTTACAATTTCATGCTCAATAGTATCAGTACCCCTACCCTGGTATTGATACTTCTATACTATGGTACCGATACTCCCTTTCAGTATCGATACCATTTATGCATTTTGGAATCCATTGTATCAATACCTTTCTTTTAGTATCGATATCGACATCAATATCGATACTAATTGCATCAGTACCGATATTGTTCATCGAATTTTTACAAATTTAAACCTATAGTATCGATACGGTTCTATCAGTGCCAATACCCTTACCTATATTTTCCATTTTTAGCTTGATTTTTACCCCAAATTTGGTCAAATTCCCTTACTTTACCCCCAACTCTACTATTAAACTATTTTTTCCTTATATCAACTAACTTTTCTTCATTTAGCTTCTTATAGCATCTAAAATATTCAAAGAACATCTTCCACCAAGAATGATACCACTTTTTCTAACATGGTTTTAATCTTATCCAATGCTTATAATCTCTTATTTACTTCCTTAACAAGTCAAATATACTAATAAACCTCAATAAAAACTCATATTCCAACATATCATTCAAAAACCCATTTTCTTCAATAAAAAATAAAACATCCATCTCTTAGTTTTAATCCTCTTTAACCCTTCCTTAAGCCTCTATAACGCTCAAGGTTTCAAGAACAAACTAAAAACGAAAGGAAAAACTAGTTAGGTGTAGCTTACCTTTGGTTGTGAATGAGAACACGTGAACACTGGAAGAAGAAGAAGTGTGGATGGCTTAGTTTGATTTCCACTTCCCCTTCCCTTTTCTTAATCCCTAATAAAAATGAATTTTAATTTTATTTCCCTCTAAAGGACCAAAATGCCCTTTTATTTTTCCATTCTTACTATTTGGCCATACTTGAATCATTTCTTATATATTACCATTTATTCAATTTAGTCCTCCAAAAATTAAATCCTTTCAAAATAGTTACTAACCTACTATTTAGGGTATTATGATTCTCCCCTTAAGAAATATTCGTCCTCAAATTTAAAGAAGTACCTGAAATGAAGAGGTGTGAAAACTGCTTCCTCATGTCATTTTCTCTTTCCCAAGTAGCTTCTTCCACCTTATGATTCTGCCAGAGCACTTTAACTAAAGGAATCTTATTATTACACAATTCCTTGTTTTCTCTAACCAAGATCCGTATCAGTTCTTCCTCATAAGTCAGATCGGGTTAGATCTCTATCTCATTTTGTGTGATAATATGGGAGGGAAAAGATCGATACCTTCTAAGCATCAACACGTGAAAGTCATTGTGGATCTTATCCATGTATGGAGGCAAAGCTAATTGATA